TTTTCCAGTGATTTCTAGATGAGTAAGAAAGAAACAGCAAATTGCAAATGTTTCCTTTTATGCCCAGATCTCAACACTGCAGCACTTCACAGGGTCCTGAGCAAGGGTGACTGGAGCTGATGCTATTAGACAAGGGTGGAAAAGTGATCTCTTCCCAGCAAGATTTAGAGGCCAGTCAGACAGGAAATTACTCCAGCTGGGCACTTTGTCCCCACCTCTCAGCTCTTCCTGCAGCTAGGAGATTCACTCTATAATTGCTTTCTTAGTCCACATATTATCCTCAGCTGACAGAATTCCATTAGGGTGATACAAGCTGTGTGATAAAGGGATGTTTGTGTCTCACATGGGCTGTAAGTCATTTCTCAGCAAACAAGCAAACAGTCACAGAAATGGGCAAAGAGACCACTGAGCCAAGAACCCTCCTTCTTGTGCTCTGAATACCAGGACCTCAGTACTCAAATGGAAGCAAACATTCTTCCAGTGTGTTATGCTCCTCTCTGCTTCCCTCTCTGCTCTTTAGAGAGACATGTCAGTGCACAACTCCAAAATGAACATTTATCTCTGCAGCATTTTTGAATGGACAATAATCAAGCAGGCAGACATGCAGCACCAGTACCTCTAGAAACGAGGGCCCCATGCAAACAGGGATCATAGGGGTTGGTGACACCACAGATCACAGAGAACAGGTAGCCTACACATGGAAAACTAGATAGAAAACGTTTAAATGAAGCTAATGTTGTAATACATCTCAGCACATACATCTGAAGAGCACAACAGGTTGGTCACACCTGCAAGACAAAGAACAAGGACCCTGAACAGGACCTTCAGGACTGTTTTGGAAGACAAAAGGAGTGACCTTCTAAGCATAATGATGCAGCTACAGGATAGATATGATGAAAAAAGCTAAAAGGGAATATGGGAAGGTCCATCAAATGCCGTAGTGCGCATAGTTACAGTACCTATAGCACTGGTGAAGCCATTACCAGGCAGTGTGTTCCGGTCTCCTCACACCAGGGGTAGTTTGGGCTCACTTGTTATATTCCCCAGGCCAGTATAAAGGTGCATCCAACAGTGAGGACTGCTGAAGCAGATAGCAGGAGGGAATGGGAAATGCTTCTGTCTTACAGAGTAAAAGCCATTGACTCAATGAAAGGCAAAGCAGACTTCATCCCCCGCATGAGCCAGAGTTCAGATGTCAATACAGCACTTCATGTTTGCTCTTACCTGACTTAGGCTGAGATGTGAGCTTTTCCTGGTAACATAACAGGGTTTAAAGACTCAACATTCAACCTCCCTCACCCATTGCTCTCATCCTTACATCATCACTGGCAGTGAGTCCTATCTCTGGTCACTCCAGCCTGTTACCTGGTATAGAAGATCTCTGTCCAGTCTTACAACACCCAGTCATTCATTGGCACTGTCAGGCATTTGCAAATGCTACCAGTCTGGCATACATCCCTGAAATGACAGGACTGAACATCACTAGGGGGAATGACCAACATACCAGCAGCATGGTAAAACCCCAGCAGGACCAGGAAATCTTATAGAAAACAGCATCACTAAGCAGGATGCTGTGGTGTAATTTTATGTCCAGGTACAGCCTAAGCCACGAGAAGGGCTCAGTTTAATTTGCCGTATGTAGCTCCTCATGGATTATTTATGGGTTCATCCTCCAAAATGAGGATGAGTCTCCTGACTCAGTAATACACAGGCTTCCATGTCTTCAATGCTGCTTTTTATACTGCATCACTGCTTGCCCCCTCGTCCACAGACAGGTGCTTCTCAGTGCTGTTTAAATTCTACTGGATTAAACCACAAAAATGCAGCAATTTAAAACCAGAAGTTGCGGGCCTTCCCAGGCATCCTGGTTTTCAGATTACACTGTGAAGACCGACAAAAATATCTTTTTAAAATCAAAAAGTAGGCAGCATGACATGTACTTCCTCACAGATTATTTCTTTATCCTCTGCCCTTCTCAGTATCATTGGGGGACAAACAAACTCATTTCTGTTATCTTGATTCAACTCCTTTAAAGCAAGTCACTACAGGCAAAGGTGAGCGACTATGACATAAAGGTTTTTGAATGGCCCAGAAACTGGAACTGGGTGAAAGTTGAATAATTACATCAAAGGCTCAGGAAGAATTTGTGTTAATCCTTCCTTTGCCTTTGCCATGCATTTGATGATGTCGAATGATGTTACTGAGCACGTTCTTGCTGAATTACTCTTGCTGAAACTGTGCCTGACATTGACTGAAGTGCTCCGTGGGGATTTTCTTGATTGCATGTTTACTCTTCTTCTTTTCCCTCTTGTAAATGCTAGTCTGACATGAATGTACTTTTGACTAGTTAGTTAAAAAAAGGCAAAAATGGAATAAACCTCTCTTTTTTTTAACCCCGATTCACTCTGGAAATGAGTCAAGTATCTATGTTTGAGTATACAGGGCTGACTTGGACACTTAATTATCTTTGGTTATATAAAGGGTCATTACACCTCAGCTCCAATTAGGAGGGCAAACGCTGACACGTCCTACCCCAGAGAGATTAATGAAGTATTTTGTAAACATTATGCTACTTTCTGTATACTACTGACTAGAATCAAGGACTTCATTAGGCCTTGCCTTGGTGGCATATGTCATCACAGAGCAGACAGCAGGCTGGCAAACCCTCCTTTCAGACAGAGACACTGCAGGGGAGGACACTGAACAACAATTTTTTAGAAATATTTTAAAGACTTTCATGGTCTTCCCACAGTGTGGCAATTTGTGGAATCACTTAATGGGTAAAGGGAGCTGCTAGGAGAGATTGGCAGAAGGTACAAGCCAATCCACTCTGTGCCAGACCAGCTGCACTGGATATAGATTTCCAGAGACAAAAGGTGTGAAAACTGTCTGGTTACCAACTGGCTGGTGAGGAAGAGTTGGTGGCAGAGAAATGGATGACAGAGAGAACTGGGACCCATCTGAGCTTGACCGAGTATTTTGCAATAATTTACAAAACCTGGAGTTATCACGAAGGATTAGTGTTGAAAAACCATTGGTCCATCGCATAGGACTTGAGATGCTCCAGACAGATGAGCATAGAAAGTCCTCTCCCCCTCATACTTTCACATTTCTCTTCACATTCAATGCAATTTTCTCAAAAGAACAGACAGTGCGACAGGCCTCACCTAGAGATTGCTCACATAACAAATCTGTGACTGTTCCTTCAGTCTTAGAAAAAAACCCTTCCTATAGCCTCTCCTCTTCCAAACGCATACATTTATACCTGTTCTTATCCCTTTCTACTCCTCCTCTTCTTCATTTTCGAGTTGCATGTAATGGTTACCTGATATAGAGCGGGAAAAAAAAAAAAAAAAAAAAAATCAAAACTTGGTTCTTGGTAGAGCTCCACTGGTAAACACAATGGGGGAGACAGTTCTCAGAACAACAGTGGGTTCTTTTGTCAGTGCTGTTTGGGAAGAGCCTTTAAACAAAGTAAATATACTCACATACTCTGTTTTACATTTAGAAGTAAAGTGTTCTGTATTTAGTACAAAATACATTTTGTTGCTTCATCAATACACAGAAATCTAGAAATGTATTGCGATCTTCTGTCTTTTCAGTTCAGCCAACAACAGTCAAGAAGCGTGCTTTTTATAAGCAAATATACAGGATATTTATAAGCAAATACACAAGATATTGCACTCCTGACTTAGTACAGAAATAGAAGCAGCACATTTTGATTCTGTATCAGGAGCTCCAATAGTTTATCTCTGTTTCATGTCTCAAAGCATATACTGACTTCAGAGTGTTCAGTTCTCTCTGGAAACAATGAGCAAGTTCTAAATGAGAAAGGAAGAATCTTCTATGGAAGAGAGTTACAGGTTGTCACAACTGACAAATTTTCAGTGAAAAGTGCATTTCCATAGCTACAAATCCTGCAGCATAATTATTTGGTTAGAGTTTTTGTTTAAACTACAGGGTACTTAAATATGCAGGGTATTTTGTGTTTAAAAACGCAGTTCACTCCTTACCTTCTGCTAGTTAAAATGCATTTACCATTTCTAAAAAGTGATACGTTGCTGGCAACAGATCCAATTGGTGCAGCACAGAGGTATGGCCACCTTGTTCATAAAACCAAATTCAGCCAAAATAGAAGAAAAGAGCATTGCTCTGTAGCAGGACGACTCCGAAGAACGTATAGAGTGCCTGTCAATGGCGCTTCAGGCAAAACACCTATATTGCTTTTTTCACGGTAGGGAAATAATGAAAGAAATCATTATTTCACTGCAAAAGATGAAAAAGGTGACGGCTGAAACTTATTTATTAAACCTGGATAAACCCACTTCCTGATCTCCATTTTCTAGAAGCATTCATCACGCTTCTGCATGCTCAGTGGAACCTCCTCAGATGTCAGAAACAGTGTCAGCCCCTGGAGAGAGCAGTGGCATCAAAACATACAGTGGCAGCCCAGAAACAGAGGTAAAGAATATTTCCTCTACAGTAAAGTGCATCTCCCAAAGAACTATCTACAGGCATCAGAAACAAAGCAGACACCTCCTTCTAGCGAGAAGCTTTGTGATCATCCAGCTAGGATTTAGGAATTAAAGCTTGAGAAATACTCTGACAGACCTCTTGTTATAACCATCCTGCTTTACCCAATTCTTGGTACTTGGCAGGAACAGTTGTCAGTTAGCAATAAGGTTCTTACTCACTCCTTTATGTTCCTTCCTCCCTGGATTTTCAATTAAGAGAGGAGGAAAAAAATTAGACAGATAATGACAGTTTAAAAAAAAAAAAAACAAAAAAAAACCCAGAAAACTGAATTCATGCTTTAAATTTCATTACTGAAGAAAATTTTCTGTAGCAAAGAGAACTTTCTTTCATAAGACAGGAGGTGAAAAAAGTTCAGCAGCAGCAGACGTGGAAAATCTTCCATTTGGACGATACATATGTTGGAGGTCTAGACTGCAGTTGTTTAGGGCTGGAGGTATTCAGGACTTTCCAATCACAACCCCTTGTTATCTTTTCCTCCTCTGCAGTCCCTTTTCACATATGCAGGTTTTTGGACGCAAAGCTGTTAAGGAAAATAGAGTGCTATAAGACTCTACCTGTATTAACAGTGAAGCCACAGACTAAAATGAGGAAGAAAGATGCCCATTCCTCTTTCTATCCCAGAATGAAAGCCAAGGCACTCAGTTTCTTACACTGACAGTGAGCGCTGCCAGTTTTTTCACAGTCACATGGAATCGCTTTCCTGTGGAATCTGGTCTGAATTTAACTTTGACACCATTCTGAGTAGGTTGGATCCTCCCTCAGGAAGGGACAGCCTGAGGTCTCTTCCAACCCAAATCGTTCTACTAATCTTTGTTATCAACCACTGCAGCTGATGCCACTAAGTACTACAAGAGGAGACACAGGGCAGATAGCAACAGGCCATCCTCAACTGATGACGTCAGAGGCATTCTGTGTCCTTAACGCTTGGACAATAGATGTGATGGCCATGGCAATGACAGCTATTCTTTACTGGACATAGGGTATGTCTGCACTGGAACACAGCATGTCATTACAACAGACACAGAGATGTTCAAAATACTTCTGATGGAAGTAGTGGTAATATACTAACTTCAAAGCTGTATTTGTACAGGCAATAGCACTTCAAATCCTTCTCCTACAGAACTGTTACTAAAAGCCATCAAATAATTTCTGTAACACTTTCTAGAGGAACTAATTGGAGAAAGTGTCATGCTCAGGAGGGGAAACCAATCATGAACATACTGGCTTGGCTGAGAATTTTTAATGTATTTAGGGAGCTATTCTGAGTAATTTACAATGAATGACTGGGACTCTTCAGACTATAAATACAATCTATTCTTTCTCCTTGGGAAAGAAAGAGGTTGTCTTTTTAATTATCACTTAGTAAGAGAAAAGACCAACCAGAAAGACAGTGGGAGGCATAAAGTCAACATATTTTCCCCCTTGTTACACTTACCGTGATTTTGGATCTGCTTGAGGAGCAACAAGCAAGTAATTCTGAGACACATATGCATCATCGCTAAAGCTGCTTACAAGGCCAGCGAGGATGCAATGAGCCCGTTATTCCCAAAGCTATCTATGAACCTGCACAATTAACACCAGGGTTTGGCTTCTGTTCAGTCAGTTTCTTTCCCGAGGACTTCCGTGTATGTGTTGATATAAGCCATGACTACATGCCACGTAAGTCTCTGATTTATATAATCCACTTCCAAATTTAGATAAAGAATAAAAATCCACCAGAGTATGACATTCCTGGTTAGCCTTCCTATCATAGAAGAAGTAGAGCTAAATATATAAAAGAGGTCTAAGTCTCCCCACTTTTCCCAGTTTAGGTCTATAACAATGTTCATTATCCATATTGTCTTGGTAGAAAGTGAGCAGAAGAAAACTGTCGAAGACAGAACTAACCTGGATCAGCCACAACCTGCTTCTTTTTGCTGTTTGTGACAATCTCATTTTCGTTCATCATTCGTACATCCTGATCTCCCACATGATTGCTGAAAAGATTAAAATCAGTACAACAGCCAAAATAACCAACATTGTGAGAAGTTATGAGAGTCATGGAAAAGCTTACAACAGAGTTACTTAGGTCCTGGAGGCTAAACAAAGCTATGAAGCACAGCCACATTATATGAGACTATCTAGAAAGGAAAGGTATTCTGTTTGCATCCACCTGAAGGATTTCTTGCCAGTTTTAATTAGCAGCATTCATTCAGGCACACATTCAAATATAAGTATCATATTCACTCGACAATTTTCTTGCCTGCCTACACAGCTTGAACCACATTAACCAAAGTGAGATTTTACATCAGTGCTCTACAAAGAGGGTATAAAAATCCCTATATGGAACTTAAGACTGTTTTGTAATGTTGATATAGCATTATCTGAAAATTTTCTTAACCAAACAAAATTAATTTACTGTGATAAGTTTTGTTTGCTGCAAAATGTTAACCATTTCTTTTTTGGAAAGAAGTAATAATGTCAGTGTTAAATTAAATTAAACAAACTACAGAAAAAAAAATGTGAGCTGAATTGAAAGTTAAAGAAAACATTGCTAACAACATCTCCCTTTCACACAGACAACAAAACACCCATGTCTTTGGAAAAAAAAAAAAAAAAAAAAAAAAGAAGTGTATTTTTCTTTTCTCTATCAATGCTGCACAAAATAGGTTTCTATTTTTGGAGAAAAATGTAATGTCTCAAACTGTCAGAGTGAAAGAGGTGAACCAATACTGAACTAAATCAGAACCTATGCTACTGATGATAACATCAGACTCAAGTTCAGGGTTCATAAAACATTGAACAGTGACACATGAAAGAGAATAGGCCAAATTCAGAAGTAATAATATATAAAAGCTCAAGAGCATTTTTAAAATGGAGGGATATTATCCGGCATGTAGTATGGGATTTGCCTTCTACTGCTGAAGTCTCCTGTGTTTTGGCAGGGGAGTAGGTGATAAAAAGGAAAAGAAGATTGCTAAACAGGCTAAGAAACACCACGAAAGCTCCTGCACAGGAGTCTAGAAAAGATGAGACTCAGCATGTTCTTGACTGGAAAACAGATCATGCAGTTTGCGTGACCCCAAAAGTATACCCCTCTTAAAACTAAATCAAGGGATCTATGTCTTCTAAATCTGTGCAAAGGAATTTATGTGAAAAAAGATCTATGATTATAGCTGGTGCTTCTCTGCTTCCAGTAAAATAACTTTACCCAGAAAGATGTTAAGCCAAAGAAATAAAGGTTAATTTCTCCTCCTCCTTTTTATATCCCACTGAAAAACTTCTCAAAACTTGTATTTCCTCAAGACATTTTCATTTCAGTAACTTTTTCACTTGAAAAATTGTTTACCTCCAAATTTTACCATGACAACACAGCCACTGGTATAAAAATATGAGTCTAACACAATACACCCAAACAATAACAATTTATTTCAACATCTGACAGTACCAGTGGCCAACAGCCAATGCTTTAGAGAAACACAGGAAAACAAACCCCAGAGGCAAATGTGAACTTCTGTTCTTAATCAGGACACTGTACGTTCCTTCCACTTATTTCTAATTATTTGACTATTCTTCTGAACAAATTATGTGCCATCTTTTAATGTAAAACTCTCGCCTTTTTTTGTTAGCTGTGCAATGTATAAGAAAGTGTTTATTTCTATGAGCTTTCAATTTTTCACTTTTCAATCTCATTTAAAATAAATTATTCTTTCAATCTTTATTTTCCTTGCTAGGGACTATTTTTTAGACCCTATCAATCATGACCTTCTAAATATAAATGTATTTTTCACTGCATTTCATCATATTTTCTGTGAGATTGCCAACTTAATGGTTTCAAAGTGTCTTTCCTCTGAATTCAATTAATTTCTCATTTAAGAAGTTCATTATATTAAAATGTCTATAAAATAGTAGAATTTTGGTTCCTTAATTAGTTTCTGTGCCAAATCAGAGGATTTTCTTTTCTTTACTTTTGATGTTTGATTCCTTTCCATTAACTTTTTTTTTTCCTCTGTGCGATATCATTGGGATTTATTATTTCTTCTCTAAGCAAGCTTAACTTCTTTCTTTCGTGTTTATTACTATAGGCTTCCATGAAAACACATGTAAATATGAATCATGAATTTCAGTAAGTGCTAAAAAATGCTTACAAATAAAGCTGGCAATTTGGTCCTAGTATCTAAAAAACTATTGGTTATTTCTCATTAAGTGAGGCTGAGTACGCTTTGGAAGAGAATTTTCTAGAGCAATAACCCTATTGCTGACATTAGTCACGTAAAAACACTTTTTGAAAACAAGACTTTTTTCCAATCAAGATCCACTCACATACCTAATAACAGTTCTCTTCTCCTGGTGACAAATCTTCTCATCATCTGTGAAGAGAATGGTATGATACGGGACCACTGGATCGCAGGTTGGTAGAATGCCCGATACTACATGGTTCACCATATCCAGAATCCCATTGTAGACAAGCAAGTCATCCACCAGAAGCTAAAGATATTTAAGAAACAAACAAACAAAACATCTAGAAATCAGGCATTGCTTTCAGCAGTTGTGTCTATCAATTGACTAGAAATCATTTTGCCCTAGTAATTTCAGAAGCCTGGTCGTTAGTTTCGCTTTTGTTCCTTAAAATTTCCATTTCTCTATTTGCTGCTGGGTTTTGATTTTTTTTTTTTCCCAAGTTTTTGTCTTCTGACTGATGTTTCTAATGCAGCTTTCAAGTAGGTAATTAAACAAGTGTTTCACGTTTTACATAATTGCCATTCTATTAACTGGTGTGAATCACTCTTAAATCTAGAAGTTAATGAATCTCACCTCACTTCAGCTGTGTAAAACTTGGGTTTGTAGTTTAAACTAGTCTTCCAGGCCTGCTCTATAGTCAGTGGAAAAACGAAAGCATTATCCTATCTTAAGACAATTATCTAAGAAAAAAAAAAATCAGATAAAGTGTTCTTT